ATGTTCAACAGATGAACGCATGCAGCTGTCCGAAAGCCTTTATCGAAGCATTTGCTGTGTGCACTGGGCAGGTTGGAAGTGCTGGGGTCAGAGTGGTGGCTGGATCAGTCTGGTGGAGCCCAGTTTTTGCATGCAGCCACATTGCCAGCCCCCAGTGAAGTCCCTCCCTCCCTGCTGAGTGTTTCCACACCAAGGTGCATCTGGTTTCAGGGGGCTGTGCATGTGTACCCTCTGGCTCCTGTGAGAGCGCAGGCCCAGGTACCCTTTGCTCCACCCCTTGGGTTCTGACCTGGGCATGTCAGAGTCTAGATGTTGCATGCATTTTTGGAGACACTAACTGCTGTCCAGGGCAACTGAACTCTGGATGTCCTCCTCAGCCCTTCCTTTCACCAGCATTCCTAGGAAGAGAGGGAGAGAGAGAGAGAGAGGTCAGGGGGCTGGGCTTGCGGTGTATTGCCAGAGCTGGTGCCAGAATCCAGCCTTCCTGGCTACGAGGCTGGGCTCTGGCCCCAGCGCCATGCTGCTCCCTGGCCGGCCTCTCTGCGCTGCCTGCTGTGGGGAAATGATTATTAATGACCCCCCTGGCAAAGAGGCAGGAAACGCTTCCTGGCCACAGCTGGGGACCTGCTCCCTTCCAGCCCTAGCCCTCCACGCCCGCCCTCGTTATGGTGTCCCACTCATGACATACACACGCCCACGCCCCACCTGCACAGCCTTCTTGCACCTTGCATCCATTCCACTTCCCTGAGCTTGATCTTGTGTGTGTTGGGGGTAACAAAGCACGAGAGAGGATGGATCTTTCTTATCCTCCCCACTTTCTGCAAGCTGACTCTGTCCTAGCTCCAAATCAGCCACCCTTCTCCAGAAAGACTTCCTTGAATGCACTGCCACCGGATCCTCCGCTGCTTCTGCCCTGGGCCTGGTGGACACTGAGTCTCCCTCACTGCAGGCTCCGTCTCACCCTGATGATTTGCTCTTGGGGTCTGAGGACACTTTGAACAGCTTGTTCCCAGCTGCTGCCCTGGGACGGATGTGGAGGCACTCAGGTGCCTCTTCCAGGGAGCTCTTCTGCTGTCCCCTGGTCCAGCCTAGGGACTCTGGCTTGCTCTGAGCACCCCTGCGCTGTCTGTCCAAGCTGCATGTTGTGTATGGCCATGACCTCATTAGTGGACATCTGTGAACACCTACTGTGTGCCCAACAAGGAGGCTGGGTAGAAATTTTAAAGTTCCTTTCTAGCTCTCCTGTGGCTGAGACACCTGTGGCAGGGCTGGGGTGGGGAGGGCCACAACACAGAGTTCCTTTTGAGGGTAGTGATAATCTCAGGGGCTGTGCTGGGACATCCCCCTGCTTCCCCCCTATTGAGCTCAGAGTGAAAGGCAAGGACAGGTGGGAGAGCTTCCAGGATGAGCCAGGAGAAAGTTCTGGATGGAGAGAGAAAAGCCTGTGGTTCCTGCATTCTGCCTTCCAAATGTCGGGGTCCAGTGAATGGGACTGGAGAGGGGCGGGAAGTGCCAGGAACTTGCTGAACCACAAGCTGCTGGGTGCCTAGTCCCAGACGAGGAACTGACTGAAGAGTGGTGGCAGTGGTGGAGATGGGGGCCTGTTGAGGTGAGGGGCCAGGGTAGGAGGCTGCTGCTGCTGCCCAGGCTGTGTGGGTGGACGCTGTGCAGGCTGAGGGCTGCAAGGGTTAGGACCCTGGGTGGCAGTGGTGGCCAGGCCTACCCAGGACCCAGGATCTCCTTTGGGGGAGAGTAGGGGAGCAGGATGACGCCTCGGGCTGCTGCTTTACCTGGAACCAGGAGACGTCCATCTGCGCTGGACAGACGGTGTTCAGACACCCAAAATTCAAACAGTCGGTAAAATGTGAGCCTGATTCAAACTGCAGATCCAAAAATGGCTGAGTGCTTTGCCAAGCGAGAGGAGATGGAAGTTTATGAAAATGCTAAACATACGTGATCCTTCTGATGTAAATTGTAGCCTCAGCTGCTCCCTGTGGTGCTTTGGAGCTGGCTGCCTCTGGTGCGGCTGCCCCCTGGGGCTCGGGGACCTCCTAGCCCTGTGCTCCGGAGAGGAGCTGCCAGGGCCCCAGCTCTGGGAAGCTTGCTGGCTTCAGGGGCCAGGTGTTTTACTTTCTCTGCCACCCCTCCACCGGGAGTGAGTTGGCCTGTGCACGGCCTATCCCCAATTTCATGGTTACCCCTGTAGGGGGTGGTGGGAAGGCAGGCAATGGGGGTGGAAGACCAAAAGCGAGAGCAACAACGGGAAGCTACAACCCTGGGACAGAACCCCTGCATTTCAGAAGTCATAGGTGGTGTGGTTTGTGGCACCCTTCCTCTCTGGCTGAGGTCTGCTCGGCACTCCCCGCGCTGTGGTATTGCTTCGTTTCCCGCCATCTTGCCCAAGACCATTTTTCCGGGGCTGTGTTGTCTGTGGGGTCAAAGGAGAAAGTTGAGGGTCAGTGTCTCCCTGGAACTGGTGAACTGCAGCTGGAGAGCTGGGGCCTGTCCCTCAGGGTTCTCATGGGGTGGGGGCGGGGGCCTCTCAGCACACTCCTCCCCAGGCTGTGTGGGGGGTGTGGCTGTGATTCTGACATTCTGTGACTTTAAGCTGCTGAGGCCCGGAACGGAAGGTGCAGACGTTCTGTGAATCCAGGATTCTAGGGTTTGATGATCTGATGATTCAATGATTCTAAATGGGGCTGCTGGGAAGAGCTGCAAGCACCTGCCTTGTTAATGTCAGTGTTCAGTTAATAAAAACCTAACAAGACGCAATGGAGACAGAGAACTTGGGGCCCCCCTGAGAGGAAGCTGCGAGGGGCTGGCTGGGCAGGCTGAGGGGAGTGGAGACCCTTAGAGCTCAGTTCCTGCTTGTGCACCCCCTGCTGAAGTCTGCCAGGGAGCCATTTCCTCCAGCCCCTGCCTCTGTTCCTCAGCCACCGCAGACCATGGCAGAGTGGGGGTATACCCTGTCCTTCCAGCCCCAGAGTCTGGGGCAGAAATGCCTACAGCTGGGTGGGGAGAAGGAAAAGATGGCCTGCTTACATGCGTGCACGCGCATGCACACACACACACACACACACACACACACACACACACCCTTCCCCAGCAGCTCTGGTCCGAGGGGGAAAACAGGACGTGAACGCTTCCTGGACACCAACATGGAAACACAGACACCCCAGCCTGTGCTGGCCCCAAGTACAAAGGGCTCAGACAAGGGCAGAGGCCAGGGCCTTAGCCTCCCCTGTGGGTGGTTGGGAGGGAGGCCCCAGGCCAGAACTCTCAGTGCAGCCTGGGATGAGACCAGCCTGCCTGTGGCTGCCTGTGCCATGTCTCCGTGCCTCTTGAGTTCTGCTCATGCCGCTGCACCTGGCCAGGGCTGGGAAGGGCTCTGGGTGTTAGGATAAAAGCTTTGGCCATGTGGGATGCCCATCCTGGTTGGGTCCTTGGGAACCAAGGACAGCTGCCCAAATTCAGGGACTTTCCAGTCAGAGAAAAAAGGACTTTGCAGTGCCCATGTCTTCCGGCAGTGGTGGGTGAGTGGGTGAGTGGGTGGACAGAAGTGGGATGGGAGCTCAGGTTAGGGAGTGAGGGCCCGTCTCTGGCACCTTCCATGTTTCTCCTCCCACAGGCCAGAGAGCAGGTGGGGTGGTGACAGCTGTTGGGTCCTCTGTTCACAAGGGTCTATTGTCTGCTACCTTCTGTCTTGGCCCCAGGACAGGGTCTCAGTGGGGAGCCCTTCTCCAGCTGCCCCACCTGGTCTCCCTGGGACTCTCCTCTTCCACCTGCTGACCTGCTCCTGGCCTCTCTCCCTATTCTGGGAAGCAGACCCCTGCCGCCTTGTCTCTGACTATCTTTGTTTCCAAATCTTTCTCAAAAGATTGCTAGACCATCAAGTCCAAGGCTTTTTCATCTTTAAGATGACGAAGCTAGCCCAGAGCAGGCTGCACAGAGCCCTGGGCTGTGCTTGCTGTCCACACCAGCACTGCCAGGGCCAGGAGCACAGGGTCTCATGGCTCCTGTTGGTGGGTTTTAGAGCTCTGACTGTCATTATGGGGCATGTGGCAGTAGCCGGTGAGGCACCGTGGGTTTCCCCAGTCCTCAGCCCTCCCACAGCCTGAGCTGCTCTCCCTGCCTCTTCTGGCCAAGGCCCCTCCCTTTGTCGCTGTCCCTGCTACCTGGCTGCCCCTGCCTTGGGCAGATCCTGCACTTGACACTCAGACTGGCTGGAGCTCAGGCCTCCATGTTGGGGTGTACCCCATGTGCTGGACACACAAGATGTGCAAGTGCATCGCCAGGAGTACAAGTCCAAGGTGAAATCACAGGGTTAGGACATGTCTCCTCCAGGGATCCTTCCAGGATCACTGCAGATGGCTCATCCGTGCTCCCTGACAGAAATCTGCCAGCCTCAGTTCCTCCTCTGTGACCCCAAGAGCAGGGCTGAGACAGGGGCCCCTCCCCCAATGTCTCCAGGAGGGGCTCAGCTTCCTGTGACTGGGTGGGGAGAGCTCTGAGGTCCCCAGAGGCTGGTGGGACAATGGAGAGGCGGTGACAGATGAGACATGGCGTCTTCCCCCCAGGCAGGCTCCACCCTACTGACCTCCCTGCCTGGTGGTGGTTGGGGCACGGCCTTGACCCACTGTGAACCCCTGAGCACGAGACTGCTCCTCTGAGCATATGGCCCCAGCAACAGTTCTCTAAGGAGGCTGTGGAGTCCTAGGCTCCCAGGGGCTTGGTTCCCTAGGGAGTCTGTGTTATAGGGTGTGAGCTGGGCATTTCTGGCCTTGGAGGGAGGTGGAGAAGGAGGTTGAGGCTGGGGTGTGCTTACTCAGAAGTCCTCATTCTCTCCACCCAGTTTGGAGTCAGTGGAGGGAACTGGAAGTTGACAGGGGATAGGATGAGCTGGACAGTGCCTGTGATGGGTGTGCAGGGCCAGCTGCAGGGAGCTGGAGATCCCACTGGAGCAGGCAGTCCCATGGGGCAGGGCAGCACAGACGGCTCAGGCTGTGTGGACAGAAGGGCTGGGCCCCGGGGGGTCAGGCCCTTATCCCAGCCCTCCCCCTCATTTCCTGCGCCGGACGCAGCCGGGTGAGTAGGGTCATCACACAGAGGGAAGGAACAGGGTTGAGCCAACGCATACCGGGCCCAAGGACAGAGGCACGCATGTGGGTGATCTGGTCCTGTCAGGCCACAACCCTACAGGGTGGCCACGCCAAGGCCTGCACGAGGACCCCATCATTGCACTTGATGTGGGACCCAGCTACAGACATTCTTTGGGGAAGGAAGACCCCACAGGATACAGAGACCTGGGGGAGGACCAGGCAGCTGGCCACTACCATGCCAGGTGCAGCCATTGTCCCAAGCAGAGCAGAGATTCCAGCAGTTCACTGTGGGCATCCAGGGCCAGTGCCAGGCAACGGGCTGGGGGATGTACAGTGGGCACCTCAGAAGTACCCCCTCCTACCAATCTGAGTCTGCCTGTGCCTGCTTGGTGCCTGAGGCTGTTTATTTCCCAGCAGGAATGGGTGTCTCACCCCTCCCCCGCCCCGTCCCCACCACACGCTTCCGAAGCTGCCAAATCAAATCAGGCCTTGCGCCCGCGCCAGGCTGGCATGGCGGCCAGCAGCTGACGGGCATGGAGCCAGGCTCAGAATATCCCGCTGCCTGTCCCATGCCTGGGCATGCTGGACGTGGGGGTGGGGAGGGGCAGTGGCTCTCAGGAGGTGGGAGGCAGGGGACTCTAGAGGAAACGTGGGACTGCCAGGGGTGCCATGGCAAGCCCCCCGCCAGTGCCAGTGTTGGGGGGGGGCTGTGGCAATGATGCTGGTGGGACATGGGACCACACACCAGGGACTCTTGGCAACTCTGAGTGGTCTGGGATCCCCATTGGTGGTCTGTGAGCAAAGGCCCAGTCCAGTGTGGAAGTTCAGTGACCACATGTGAGCTGGATGCTACAGGGCCCCTACTATAGCCAGAGAAACTGTAGGCTTGGAGAGGGGTGGTGGAGTTCCCTGGAGGGAAGTAAAAGGGTAAGTGGGGTTCCTCAGAAGAGGCTGCGACCCTCTTGTTTCAGCTCTGAGTCCTGGGCAGAAAGAACCCAGCTTTGTGCTAAGTCTACAACCAGCCAAAGGGGCTGGTGGCAAGGCGGGTGCAACCAGACAAGGTTCCAGGAGGAAAAAAAGGAGGCCTCCCATTTGGAGGGCAGGCTGGGGATGAGGGGAGAGGCCCAGCAGGTCTCAGCCCCTGGCTTTCTTGTCTCTGCAGCTGGCCTGGACCCCCTTGCACAGAAGCCAGAGTCCCCAGGAAGTAGAGCCAGTGGACTGGAGGTGAGAGCTCAGCGGAGGGAGGTGTGGCCGGCCCTGGGAGTTGGGGAGGCTGGAGCTGCATCCCAGCCCTGCCCCAAGCCCCTGCTTATGCCTCTGGGGCGTCTTCACACTGTCCCCACCCATCCCTTCCCCTTCACCTCAGAAACACCTGACCTTCACGTTGCCCCCCTCAGCATTTCTCCTCCACCCACCGTACCTGGGCCATGTCAGCTCCTTGCTCATGCCCTGCCTGCCAGTCTCCCTTCTCCATCCCTGCCTCCTACCAGAGCCCTGGGACCCTCATTGCCTGCCAGCTTTCCCTAGTCCCTATCCTGGTCCTTACATGGCTGGACATGCCATTTTGTTGCTGGACAGTTTTCCATACTTCCCTCTCCACTCCCCTCACCCCTGCAGTCCTGGCCCAGCCACAGTGCCCCCTTTACCTGTTCTTGTCTCCTGAAATTGTTCTCTTTAGCTTTCCCCTCCCTCCAGCTTCCTAAACCCTTCTGGGCTCTAGCCTCCCCTTCTCCTCTGGGCAATCCTTCCCGCCCAGCTGTCTGCCAGCACCACCTGACCGAGCTTACTCATGCTCCCTCCTCTGAGCTCTCCAGTCCTCACTGTGGACAGGTGTGAGGGGGACTTCTGCTTTGCTGGCACCCACTATGCTACGCCACCAATACCCTTTTTGTCCCACCATGTGACTCCATACTGATGTCTGGCCCTGACTTTTTCATTCTCAAACCTTCCACTGCCCTATGGTGGATTCCAACAATGCAGGGAGGGCCCCGTTGAGCATGTCCTTGAATGCCACGGGCCATCCCCTGTACCTGCTCCTCCCTCCGGGACACCTCGTAAGAGTCTTTACTGTTGGGAGGGGCTTTGGGATACAGAAGAGATTGGGTTGTGAATGTTGCAGATTGGCACAGGGGTACATGTCTGTGAGTGTGTGTGCATGGATTGGTGGAAGCAGCCAGCAGTGCAATTCTGTGGCTGGCTGTGTTGTGAGAAAGTGGAGGAACCCTCCATGGCAACCCTACCCTGTGCACAAGCTGCAGCTCCATGCCCCTGCTCAGTTCTTTTAGCCTCCTGTAAGGCATGGCTGTTACCCTTTTATTCCCTTTGCACATTGGTGGGGGGTGGGCTCTGAGGCCCAAAGGGTCACCCAGCAAGTGGATCAGGGCAGAGCTGAGGGTGGAGCTTGGCTTTGTCTTATACTTAAGCCCCCTTTCCCCCTCCTAAGATGAACTGGGATAGAGGTGCCCACACTGGGTCTGGTGCCCAACGGTCTCGGCACAAGTGAGCTAGGGGAGGGAGGCCCAGGACCTGCAAGCGTACCTCCCCCCACCCCCCCGTAGCCGGGAGCTGGCATGTGGAGAGGAAGGGAGGCAGGGCTTAGAAGGCCATGATTAATGTATTGATTGCCATGGCATTCCCCATGGGCGGGGGCTCCCCTCAGAGCTGGGACAGATGGTGTGCCTGGGAACCGGCAGGCCACCCGCCAGGAGAGATTGGATGTGTCATCTACCCAGGAAGCTGCTAGGGGAGGGGGCTTTGAGAGCTGACACTCGCCTGGGCAGCAGGGGCCAAGCCCCAGGGAAGGAGCTCTAGGTTCCCTGCGTGTGCCCCCGTGCACAGCCCCCTCTGCTTCAACACTGGCCCTGTCCTCAGCAAGTTCAAGTTCTGCCCCTTTTCCCAGCTCCGCTACCCCGTCCTCTGCACACAGCCTCCCTGGGTGAGACCCATTTGGCTTTCTGTTACTATCAAGGCCCCAGGAAGGAATGGCCTGTGACAGAGAGAGGACCACACAGGCAACAAAGGGGGGCCGAATCTTGCTTGGACTCCAGGGACAGTGGGAAGGAGAGGGAGTAGGAACTGGGGAGCCTGATGATGATCTTGCGTGAATCCTGGGGTTCAACTAGCAGGAGTTCAAGGCCTGAACCGCTTAACCGCTTCCTGGGTGTATGAGCAGCAGCAAGACCCTGTCACTACAGGAAGGCCTCACTGCTGTGGGTGTGGTTGCAAGTTACAGATGCAGTCGGTCAGCTAAGGTGCCTGCCTGGACCAGGTCTGACCCTCCCTGGCTCCTGGGCAGGAGTCGGCTGCTCTCTGTTTCCCTCGAGGGTATGAACCTTGGAGCCAGGCTGAGCTGTGGGGTCAGGCTGAGGTTGCTGGAGGCTCTGTGTGGGTGTTGGATGCTGCCCTGGCATTGGCTGGGTGGCAGCCAGAGAGCAGGGCAGCCAGCACCCATCCCCAGCTGGGCAGCATCTGCCTAGCACACCCTGGCTGGCTAGTCCCCCTACCCCTATGCCAGCCAGCCAGCTCAGAAGAGGTGCTCCTGGGGTTCCGCCTGGGGCCCTATTTCATGGTTAGGTCCCTGCCTCATGGTCATCTCTGGAAGCAGGGGCCGAGGAAGTGGAAGTCAGTGCACTAAACATACTGAATCAGTGCCTCTTTCCTGCCATCCTCATGGTCCATGGGATGTCTCGGGCATGCCAGTCGGGGCAGAGGCAGACCTGGGCAAGGAAATAGGTATCCACCCTTAACTCCCAAGTGTGCTGCTTGGCTCTGCCCCCTTGGTGAGACTTCACCTATTGCTTTATCTATTGCTCCCTGCTCTCCTGGACCCACATGGGCTGTGGCATAGACTTGGTACACAACAGACACTCAGTGTTTTGTGCACAAATGAGACTGGCTTTGAATAGAGTTGGGTTTGGTTCTTCAAAGGCGATGCAGTCAGGACAGTCTTGGGGATTTCCTGGAGGAGGAAGTCTTGGCACTTAGAAGGATGTGACCGATGAGCTCAGCTGGGCAGTTCCACACAGCCAGCTTCTGCTGGGACCAGCTGAGGGCAACCAAGACCAGCCCAGGACTGAAACATGTAAACCAAGGGGCTAGGAACAAGGACCCTATCCCAGAGTGGGCTGTTGGAGGCAGGCTTGGGGCTGAGAAAGTCCCCTCCGAGTTCTGGTCTCAGACAGCTGGGATGAGGCCGAGGCAGCATGATGAATGAATGGGCCCAGCTTGGTGGGCCCGCTCTAGGCAGAGCAGGTGTTGGTTTTGGGCTGGAGGCATGTGAAGTAGGATCACCATGGGGTTGAGAAGTGCTGCTTGGTGGACAGGAACAGCTTGTGTATGTGTGTATGAGAGAGAGAGAGAGAAAGACTAGTGGGCTGAGTCTTGCCTGGGGCCAGGCTGGAAGTGCTACTGCAGGTTCAGGCCTGCAATAAGAATTCTTGAGTGATTGCTGTTGCCAAGTGGCAGCTGTGCCCACCTCATCCAAGGGCCTTGACGGTGCCCCATGACCCCCAGGCAGCGGCTGCCAACAAGTCGGCTGGAGCATCTGGTGTCTGCAGGGGCCCCAAGGCTCTGCCATCTGTCTGTGCCCACCTGTCGGGCATGCAGGGCCTTGGGGCCAGGGACTCTGTCACAGCTGCTGCGCCAGCACGTCTCGCTGTCTGATTGCCCATCTGTGCATGTGCCTAGCTAAGGGCAAGGCCCAGAGAGGTCCTAGGTTCTGCCAGCATGAGAACCTGTTCTGGGGTTGGGGGAGCACTTGGACCCAGATGAGACAGAGCCCAGGAGGTGGGCCAGGCTTGTGAACAAGGCATGGAGAGGGGCGGCAGTGGGTAGGTCTTGGGAGGTGAAACCCTTGTTTCCCCAACTCCAGCAGGCCCGCAGTGGAAGCTCAGAAAGGGGTGGGCACTGAGAGTTGCATAGCTGCTGTGGACTGAGGCAGGCGGCTCTCATGGCTGGCGCCTCCCCAGCCCTGCTGGGCCTTGGGCTGTAAACACTGAGAGAACAAGTTCCGTTTCCCGGTAAAATGTTTATCTCGGGCCGTGTGGGGAGCGTGTGCACTGGCCTCCTGCGGGCCTTGGGCCAGAGGCCCTGGCAGCCATGTGGGGGCCACTGTGGGGCCACAGGCAGAGCCAGGAAGCCTGGGGCGGGAGGGTTGGGAGGATGCCAGGAAGTCCCTGCTTGGAGCTTGGGTCTGGGTGCCAGCTGCAGGTGAGGAGAGGGTGCTGCAGCTCCAGGCACCCTTCGCCCCTCCCAGCATACTACCCTGTCTATATTCCTGGCAGCATCCCCCCACTAAGCCTACTCTCCTCATTGGCTGCCCCCCACCCCTCCAGCCCTTGCTGTGGCCTGTATCCCCACACGGAAGCCTTCCTCTTGCTGTCAGCTGTCTTCCTCTAGGCAGTGCCCCAGGCCCTCTGCCTCCCACCCTTCCCTGTCAGCTGCTGAAAGCTCCCTGGCTGGGCCTCATGCTGCCCATCTTGGACACTTGCTCTGACATGTCAGGCAGCTTCTTGCTTGCTGCGGGGCAGTGTCCTGGGAAATGCACGTGCCCCAAGGTGTGGGGCGAGATCCTGAAGTCATCTCCTCTGCCCATGCCCTGGGGACCAGCACAGCCCGGGCACTGGGAACATCAAGTGAATGGGGCCAGGGAGGGGATCATGGAAGGTGTCATGGATCTCACCAGGGTCAGAAGGAGGGAGCGGGGTGGCCAGGGCTCCTGCCAGCCTGGGCCTGAGCCTGGGGATGAGGGTCCCAGCCTGGCTTGGCCTGAATGGGGCCCTGGTGGCAGGAAATCCTTGCAGGACAAGCAGGGGCTGAGGACTGAGCACAACAGGAAGCAACCTTGACACGCACAGCAACTCTGGCTACGGTGCCCCGCAGGGTGGGGGTGGGATGCTGCCAAAAGTGACACCAAGATACTGACCATGGGATCCCCGGGCTTGAGATGTGGGACACCAAATGGCAGATGCTGTCTGGGGGGTGCTGTGGGTGGGAAGAGTGAGTCACTGTGCTGGTCACACTGAGTGTAGCACCCTGGCGACACCAAGTGTGTGACATTGCATACTATCTGCTACTGCATGTGTAACACCAAGGAGAGCAAGGGGTATGACAAGGATGTGTCACCGTGAGGATCAACACGTGTGCTGCTGTGTCTGTGGCTCTGGTGTCTGCTCCTGAGTGGGTGTGACACATGGAGCTGACGTTCAGCATGTGACAGGGACTGG